ATGGTGACGCACCCCTGTTCTCTCCAGCTACCTGAGAGGCTAAGGTGGAAGGATCACCTGAACCTGGGGTGCTTCAGTGAGTCATGATCACACCACTAAACTCCAGTCTAGGCAACCCTGGGTGAGACACTGTCTCAAAGAAAAAGAATGAATGAGTGAAAGAAAGAAAAACCACTACATAAGGAAAACCAATCCCAGAGGCATCGAATTTTGAACCTCTATCCTTAATAACAGACCCCAAAGGTGTTAACACCCAATATTCCCTACCATTCCAAAAGAACAGAGAAAGCTAAGCACAGATATCAGGAGAAAAGAAAAAGAGGGGGATGAAAAACCAAATCTAAAATGTCTCACAACATGTCATGGGGTCCTCTAACATGTTATAAACAAAAAAGCACTAGCTTCTCCTCACTTGCAGTTTGGTTTGAAGACAAAGTCATGGAGCTGTTTTCCAACTGCCAAACCTCAGTGTTCTATACGAATCAGTTCTTGCACTCATATCCCACTATTCAACATAAAAAGGTCAGTATCAAGGAGGATACAATGCCCTGATTTATTGTAGCAAAGCCAAAAATAGCTTTAACTCCCCCATCCACTCCCTACCCTGTTAATCTCACCTTTGTAAAAGATCTCATCCTCTTCCTAGGCTTTTTTTACCTATCCCTCTTCCATCTGCCTACAAATCCAGTAAATCACCAAGTCCTATAAAATCAGATGCAACAGGTCTGACCATTTACTCCTCCTGTGTGGTTAACTGACCCAAACAGTTCCAATCCTCATTACCATTTCCCATAAAGTTCTACTACAGATCTAGTTGATCCTCCCTGTCTATAGGTCATGTCTTTGACACGGTGCTAGAGTAACATTCCTAAAGTCAAAGGTCTGATGGATGCTCCTCAGTAAAAGCACCATCAATTCCGTGTTGCCTATAAAACAAATTCTAAACTACTCCACCCTCTGACCACAGGTCATCTCTCCAGTCTCACTCTGGTGATCCCCCTAATGTGTCCAGTGCTTTAACGAATAAGACAGCTCTTCACTCCTTAGCATTTGCCATACTTTCCCTTCTACTTTGACTTATTCATGCTGTTACTTCTATTTGTCCTTCCATCTCTTCTCAACAAAATCAGCAATCACCTTCTTCCCTCAAAGCACAAACCAGGAAGGAAAGCAAACATATCACAAGAAAGGGAATTAGAAGAATCTATGGTCTCAGAAACAGCATCGGTTTGAAAAAGGAGCACTGCCTTGAAGACCCAAAGTCCAGCTTTGCCACTTTCTTGCTGAGTAAGCCATTCACCTTTATGGGCCTCAGTTTCCCCATCTGTAAAATGTATCTACCCTACCTAACATATAAGATTATCCAGACAATTAAGTATGGGCCGGGCACGGTGGCTCACACCTGTAATCCCAGCACTTTGGGAGTCTGAGGTGGGCAGATCACCTGATATCAGGAGTTTGAGACCAGCCTGGCCAACATAGTAAAACCCTGTCTCTACTAAATACAAAAAATTAACCAGGCATGGTGGTACACGCCTGTAATCCCAGCTACTACTCGGGAGGCTGAGGTGGAAGAATTGCTTGAACTTGGGAGGCAGAGGTTGCAGAGTCGAGATCATACCACTGCACTCCAGCCTCGGTGACAGAGCAAGACTCTGTCTCAAAAAAAAGAAAGAAAGACAATTAAGCATGATAAAGTATGTCAAAATGCTTGTGGGGGAATGGAGCTGAAGCTTATAGGGAAAATTATACCTTTAAATGCTTATATAGGAAAAAATCTAAAAATTAATGAGCTATACACATTCTTAAGAAGTTTGGGCTGGGCGCAGTGGCTCACGCCTGTAATCCCAGCACTTTGGGAGGCCGAGGCGGGTGGATCACAAGGTCAAGAGATCGAGACCATCCTGGTCAACATGGTGAAACCCTGTCTCTACTAAAAATACAAAAAATTAGCTGGGCATGGTGGCGCGTGCCTGTAATCCCAGCTACTCAGGAGGCTGAGGCAGGAGAATTGCCTGAACCCAGGAGGCGGAGATTGCGGTGAGCCGAGATCATGCCATTGCACTTCAGCCTGGGTAACAAGAGCGAAACTCCGTCTCAAAAAAAAAAAAAAGAAGAAGTTTGAAAGAAAGCTTTAAATGCTTACATAGAAAAACATCTGAAAATTAATGAGCTATGCACATTCTTAAAAAATCTGAGACCGGGCGCGGCGGCTCACACCTATAATCCCAGCACTTTGGGAGGCCAAGGCGGGTGGATCACGAGGTCAAGAGATCGAGACCATCCTGGTCAACAAGGCGGAGGTTGCGGTGAGCCGAGATAGTGCCATTGCACTCCAGTCTGGGTAACCACAGCGAAACTCCATCTCAAAAAAAAAAAAAGAAATCTGAAAGGCAAAATAAACCCAAAAGAAATAGAAAATTTTAAAGTAGAAATTACAAAGAAAACAAGCACAATACACCAAAGCCAAAAGACAGTTTGTGAAAAGAACAGGATTGTTCACATGCATGTGTAAACTATGACAAACAATATAAGAGTAAGCTATGGTTATCCAATACAGTTCTATGCATTGTAGGGTGCTTAGTTGCATCCTCAGCCTCATTCCACTAGATGACAGTAGCATCCCCACCCTAACCCCAAGAATCCTGACAACCAATGTCTTCACACATTATAAACTGTCCCCTAAGAAGCAAAATCATACCAAGTTGAGAACCACTGCTCTAAGAAAACAAAAGGGCCACACCACACGACACCAACTAAGACTAGATTATTCATTGCTATTTTTTTTGTTTTCTTTTGTTCTGAGACGGAGTTTGCTCGTTGCCCAGGCTGACGTACAATGGTGTGATCTCGGCTCACCACAACCTCCGCCTCTCAGGTTCAAGTGATTCTCCTGCCTCAGCCTCCAGAGTAGCTGGGATTACAGGCATGCACCACCACACCTAACTAATTTTGTATTTTCAGTAGAGACGAAATTTCTCCGTCTTGGTCAGGCTGGTCTCGACCTCAGGTGATCCACCCACCTCAGTCTCCCAAAGGGCTAGAATTACAGGTGTGAGCCACCACACCCAGCCTTCATTGCTATTCTTAATGGTAAAATAGCTGGTTGCTTTGTCCATGACTGTGGGATAGCAGCAAGGACAAGATTAAAGAAATAGGAAGGTCTGGGATTTTTCAGGAAAATTGCATAGAGTGCTCAACATGAGAGGAAAAGAAAAGCTTTAAGAGGTAAAATAGGGTCAAAGTTACCATAAGTAACAGAAGTATCATTTTTACTTTTGTGGCTCTTTACACTGTAGTGAAATATAAAAAATGGTCCTTGAGTCGAATTCCAAGAAGTCAGTTAACCTAGCAGAGCACAGCAGGACATAGTTTCTAATGGAATGTTTATCACTCTGAACTTTAATAAAAATAGGTCATTTGAAAAATTTTAAAAAGTATTAATGTGATAATTGCATAAATATTATTTTTAAAAACCCAAATTTAATCTGTCACAGGAGTAATATTTTTAAAAACCAGTTGCACAGCTACACTATTCTGAAACAAATCATAATTAAATTATTGCCATTTCTAAATAAATAATCAAGTCCGTAGAAGCCTACATATAATTTTTGAATAATTAAGAATTTTACAAGGAAAATAGAATACCAAGAAGCCAACAAGAAAGATAGTGGGTATATATCCATTATACTCACCAGAAGTATCTAAAATCCAATCTAAACCTGATGGGAGTTCTAGGGGTATCTGTAAATAAAATTATGAGAACCCAAATGATGAAAAGCAAAAAGTGATGCTGACACCTAGGGACTCTAACATCATTTCAGGAACAGTAAGAGCCAAGTAAACATTACTGTCTTCTATTACTTCCATTCATTCTACTTTCTAGAAATGAGACTCCAACTGAATAAGCTAGCAATGGACAGCAAATGCTATTAAAGGGGATAAAAGTGAATGGTCATTTCCCTGCAGAAATGGAGCAGAGATTTCTGGACAGTATAAAAGAGGGCAAATGGACTCCCAAGTCATATGACAGCTGTTAGGATGAATGAGAAATGAAGATAGTAAACATCAGCAAAGACAGAGGATCAGTGCTCATCCTCCTGGAATCTGGAGAATGGTAGGAGTACATTTTCCTACATTCCTTCAGATTCAAGTAATTAGATAATCTAATGCAACGTTCAGTTCCACTAGGGGGTCTGCTATGAACAGACAAAAACCCTATTCCTCAGTGAGTAGGAAGCTTACAAACAACTAAATCCTATGCCATAAAAGGCTGGAATTAATTGAGAAGCCCTGTAGCTGGTCAAATGACCTAACATTAGAATGAACATTAAAAGAAAAAGTCCAATGCCTTTCAAGAAGCTGAGGGAAAAGGAGGAGTGAGCTGAGCAAACCAAATAGAAGGCATCAAAAGGGGGCCTACCAGTTATGGTGATGTGGTGCCCTCCCAGTAGAAGCAGTTTATGGTCACTGGAATGGCCAAGAGGTGGAGCAGCACTGCAGAAAATGCAGTGAGCTTTCTGAAATTGTGAACCTGTATGAGAATCTCTGCCCATACAATTCCCTCACATACACACAAGCAGAATTGTAACGTATAATTTCAGAAAACTTACAGACCACTCACAGTTACCCTCATGTCTACCTGAAGAGCCCATGGCCTCCTGACTGCAAAGTCTTACCACAGAGACTCTGACACTGACTACTCCATGACCTGGGCAAGTATGCAACATTCTATGATCTCTGGACCTGAGTCCATACATCCGTCAAAGACGAGCTAATGGATAAAGGTTCTTCCAGCAATAAAACAAAGCTTATCTGGAGGAACAATAATCCATTTCCTAGGAACAAACATCTAAATTCATTGCAACTCAGTTCCTGGTCTATGTCTTCTTACTATGGATGGCCTAAGAAATCCAACTGGAAACACCAAGCTTTCCCAGCAAAAATTCCATTGGAGGAAAATATAAGGCAACCTCTGTCACTCAATAGAGCTCACTTACCATCCAGCAGGTCTTCTTCATCATCCCTGTCACATTCCTCCACTGCCACCTCCTCCTCCTCCTCCTCCTCTTCCGCATCCTCCAGCTCCACATCCGGGTCCAGGTCTGGATCGCTCCCTGAGGCAGATTCGTCTGACATGGCTCCCAGAGGTCCTCAGTGGGCATTACCAACTCATGGTCCACTGCAGGGGTGCTAGGAGAGGACAAGAGGCATTAGAATCACCAAGGGTTTTGCTTAGGAGCACAAGTCTTTCAAAGGAAAAAATGCCGGCTGGGCACAGTGGCTCACACCTGTAACCCCAGCACTTTGGGAGGCCAACACAGGTGGATCACTTGAGGTCAGGAGTTTGAGACCAGCCTGGCCAACATGGCAAAACCCCGTCTCTTCTAAAAATATGAGTTAGCAACGCATGGTGGCACACACCTGTAATCCCAGCTACTTGGGTGGCTGCAGCATGCGAATTGCTTAAACGGGGGAGGCAGAGGTTGCAGTAAGCCAAGATGGTGCTGCTGCACTGCAGCCTGAGCAATAAAGTGAGACTCTGACTCCAAAAGAAAAACAAAGAAAAAAAAATGCTGAACATGAATTCCCTGGAACTTCTCTAAGCAAGGCAAGCTAACCATACCCAAATCACAATCTTCCCTATGAGTATACTGGCCCTGAGACAAGTTTTCATGACTCTGTGCAGCTTAAACATCTCTTGGCTATTTTGACAAGAAAATACCTTAAACTAACAATAACAGTAAAACTATAAACCTTGGAATTCCCATTTGTTTATTCCTTCCTGCATCAACTATGTCCTGAGCACCAACTCTCTATATCTATCTATATATATAAATATATATGTATACAGAGAGTCCCCAACCTGCGATGGTTTACCTTACACTTGTGCGAAAATGACACACAATTCAGTAGAAACTGTACTTCAAATTTTAAATGTTTCCCAGGCTAGTGACATGCAGAACTATACTCTCTGGCAATGCTGAGCAGTAGCAACGAGCTGAGGTTCCCAGCCCGCCATGCTATCATGAAGTGTGCAGTTTATTGTGCTGCCAGATGATTTTGACTGTAGACAATGTAAGTGTTCTTTATTTTATTTATTTATTTTTAGGCAAGGTCCAGCTCTGTTGGCCAGGCTGGAGTGTGGGTGGAATGCAGTGGCACAATCATAGTTAGTTCACTGCAGCCTCAAATTCCTGGGTTCAAGCAATCCTTCGGCCTAAAATCTCCTGAGTAGCTAGGATGACAGGCACATATAACCATGCCTGGCTAAGACAGTGTTAAGTGTTCTAAGCACCTTTGAGGTAGTGTAGGCCAAGCTATGATGCTGAGTAGGTTAGGTGCATTAAACAGACTTTCAACTTACAATATTTTCAACGTACAATGCATTTATCAGGTTGTAACCGCAGTGTACATGAAGGAGTAGCTGTATATAATTGCAGATGCTAGTCTAGGGTTTGGGGACACAGCAGGAAGCAGAACAAAGCATGCAAGGAGTGCTCAGGGCTGGTGTGTGCCAGGAGGAGCTGCTAATTTATATAGGGAGGTCAGTGAAATTCTCACTGAGCAGAAACCAAAAGGAAGAAAGGAAGCCATACAGACATCTGGAGGGAGTGTGTTCCAGGTAGAGTGAGCACCAGCGACAGAGCAGGAGTGGATGGGAGTACTCAGGAGCTAGAAGTATGTTTTACTCAAGTTATTCATTCATTGACATTCAGTCCTTCATTTGCCAACCTGCCATACTATGTCGACCATGTGTCAGGCACTGTGCATGTCTGTCTGTCTCTCTTATCACTTTACTATTAGCTATAAAGGCCATTCCTTCTTGAGGGTAAAATAAAATAAAATTATGGTAAAGAGATGGCTAGTTGGGTAGCTCTGCGATAAAGTACATACAGGAAAATGTTAACTTGCGAATTCACTGACCAATTTTTCTGTATATTTCTAATTTTCTTTCTTTCTTTTTTTTTTTGAGATACAATCTCACTCTGTCACCCAGGCTGGCATGCAGTGGCGCAATCTCAGCTCACTGCAACCTCCACCTCCTGGGTTCAAATGATTCTCCTGCCTCAGCCTCTCGAGTAGCTGTTATAGGTATGCATCACCACACCCAGCTAATTTTTATATTTTTAATATAAAAACGGGGTTTCACCATGTTTGCCAGGCTGGTTTCAAACTCCTGACCTCAGGTAATCCTCCCGCCTTGGCCTCCCAACGTGCTGGAATTACAGGCATGAGCCACTGTGCCCAGCCTCCAATTTTCATAGTAAAATCACAGAAGAGGTAAATAATCTTTTATAAGACAAACTGCTGCAGATAAATACATCAACAATCAGACCATCCTCAAATTCCTATCTCCCAAAATAAAAACTGAGATACGAGTCTCTAATTATTTAATATAAAATATACTGCAGAACTGCAATCTCTTATCAAGCTTCAGATAATTTGAAACATAACATCCATCTTCTCCTGAACAGAACAGAAAAGAAAAAAAGGAAAGCAAATTAGATTTAGAGTTTTAGAAAACTAGAACTTAGGACTGTTCAGAGTTAGAAATAACAGGAATCAAGAGTGTGTGGCCGGATGTGGTGGCTCACGCCTGTAATCCCAGCACTTTGGGAGGCCAAGGTGGGCGGATCACCTGAGGTCAGGAGTTCGAGACCAGCCTGGCCAACATGGTGAAACCCTGTCTCTACTAAATTATAAAAATTAGCCAGGCATGGTGACTGGCACCTATAGTCCCAGCTACTTGGGAGGCTGAGGCAGGAAAATTGCTTAAAGCTGGGAGGTGGAGGTTGCAGTGAGCCAAGATCATGCCATTACACCCCAGCCTGGGGGACAACAGCAAGACTCCATCTCGAAAAACAGTATGTGTGTCCAGATGGTTCATGTACTTAGCCTCTCAAGACAAAATAAAAAACAGCTGTGAAATGATCTTATAATAAAATTAAAATTTTTGTATTAATAACTCACTTCCAAAAACATCTGCAAAGGGCATTAAGGGACAGGAGAGAAATGTGATTGGCAAATACAAACTCATATAACTAATGCTGAGCTACCATTCACTTAGTAACCTGGCAGATTTCAAATCTTTGTAAAAATGACTATCCTGAAAAAAAAAAAAAAAAAAGAAATGACTATCCTGTGTCACTGGTTCATTTAATAGGTTTTAGAAAGGAAGTAGAAAATCAATTAGATATCAACAACTTTGGAAGTAAAATTTACTTTTTAATATTTGTAGCGAAATTTATTTCTGAATGTTAGTATATTCATTAGTAACTACTATGTATTTGGAAGTCAATGATTGTAATCAGCATAACCCCTCGCTTTCATCCTAGACTCCTTGAGATAAGAGTGTTTTAGCCAGGCATGGTGGCTCACACCTGTAATACCAGCAATTTGGGAGGCCTAAGTGGGCGGATCATCTAAGGTCAGGAGTTCGAGACCAGCCTGACCAACATGGTGAAACCCCCATCTGTACTAAAAATACAAAATTACCCAGGCGCACTGGCACATGCCTGTAATCCCAGCTACTTGGGAGGCTGAGGCAGGAGAATCGCCTGAACCAGGAGGCAGAGGTTCTAGTGACCTGAGACCAAACCATTGCACTCCAGCCTAGGCAACAAGAGTGAAACTCCATCTCAAAAAAAAAGACTATTTTCTCTGCAGTATGCTTAGCTGATTTTAGAGAACCATTTTTAATTAGCGAGTACTTTTAGGTAACCTGAATGCCTGTCATCCTAGAGAAGAAATTGTATGGTGGCAATAGAGACTCCTCAAAAAAAGAAAAAACAGACAACAGAGCCTGGTGTGGTGGTTCACACTTGTAATCCCAGCACTTTGGGAGTTCAAGATAGGAGGACTGTTTGGCCCAAGAGTTCAAGACCCAGCCTGGGCAACACAGCACGCCCCACATCTACAAGATACATAAAAACTAGCTGGGCATGGTGGTGTGCAACTGTAGTCCCAGCTATTTGGGAGACGGGGGTGGGAGGATCACTCGAGTGCAGGCAACAAGTGAAAATCGCAGGGGAAAAGCTGGCCTTGGGGGGCAGCAGTCAACTGTATTCTGTCTCTAAGGGGCTCCACCCTCACACACACATACCTCCATGTGGGCATAGCCTTTCAGAACACAAGGCAGCCTTGATTCAGTACTCGGCTCTTAGTAGAACTGTTAGACACACACGGTTGGTGACATGGGGGGAGGGGGGAGTGATAAAGAAAATAATCCGTCTCCCTCATTTGCTCCTCATTCTATGCAAAACACTGCTTCAGTCTCCAGTGACAAGGGGCTCTGTCTCTAATACCAGAAACCAGAAGAGCAATAATGGGTATGTTGCACCTTAATGAGGACCCATGTTCCTACAGAGCAAATTCTGGGAATCAAATTATATTTCAATGAAACTGGAGAACTATTATTTAAAGGAACTCTAAAGAAGACCACTCTGAAAAGCAAATATTCAACCCCTAAGTATTGTACTAAGTCTACAGTTCAATATATTGGGTTTGTTAAAAGGAGGCTATAATTATGAAGAAACCCATAGCCAATCCTAGCCTAGCACCTCATAGCAATCTTGAGAGTAAAGGAAAACACTGTTCTGCCCTGCTAAGTTCAAAGACAACAACACCTGTCAATAGAGTGGTACCTGGCCAAAAATCAGCAGAGTTAATCATGCAGGCACAGCCCTTAAGAGACATGAGGCATGGCAAGGTGGGGATATTAGGGTACACACAGGAGGAAAAACACACACACACACACACACACACACACACACACACACACACACAAAGCCTTTGTTCACAAAGCAGACCAGCAGGCTTGCAGAGTTCACACTGGAATCACAAAACTCTGAGCACACACACTGCCTCATCACTGTGAGGCAGCTCATAAAATTTCAAAGACGTCATTATGGTTCTTGAAAGCATCAGGATTATTCCTTTTAAATAAAACGATCCTTCCCAGACTGCCATGTCCTCATTAATTTTGGTGACCCTGAGTAGTACTAAATTCTGCCAAATGGTCTCAAAGCAAGTCCATAGCAAGTGCAAATGACTTGTTTTCTTCTTGAAGAAAATATAAATAAAACACTGTATTTGAGCTAATTTACAAGGAGAAGAAATTCTTTTAAGAGTAGAAAAGCAGGCCAGGCATGCTGGCTCACTCCTGTAACCCCAGCACTTTGGGAGACTAA